AAACAGTCTGCGATAAGACGGGACAAGCTATTCTCAATAGGGATCAACGACTCGATCGCTGGGCAGAATACTTCAGCGAACAGTCCAGGGGGCCTAGTGCTAACCAGGCTGCTTCATCTCCGACTGAAGCTCCGTGGGCAGTGTCATACGATCCTCCAGCAGAGGCAGAAGTTCGGTCTTGCATTTAAGCTCTGAAGCGAGGAAAGCCAGCAGGACCTGATGAGCTCCCTCCCACTCTTTTCAAGATGGGAGATGATAACCTCGTAACCTTTATTACTCCCCTACTGCGTAACACTTGGACGCAAGAACACATTCCTACATCATGGGGCGAGTCACTGATCGTTCCCATTTTAAAGAAAGGATCCCGCAACGATTGCGAAAACTACCGCGGGATCAGTTCAATCCCGATCGTCAAAAAAGTCTCGGTTATACTTCGACGTCTGACGCCTTCAAGAGAGGCAAACATCCGTGAACAGCAAGCCGGGTTCCGGCCTGACCGTGGATGTGTTGACGAAATTTTTGCGTTGCGTTAGATCCTTCAGCTGCGTCACACCTTCGATTCAGCTGACCGAGAAGCTCTGATGGGCTCCCTTCTTTGAAAAGGAATGCCCCAGAAGAACGTTAACCTACTGAGGTCACTGTACACACAGACCCCTGGTCATGTAAGGGTTTACAAAAATTTAAGTAGGCCGTTCGTCATCAGCAGCGGCATTCGTCAAGGGTGCCCTCTTTCGCCGTTCCTGTTCAATTTCGTGGTCGACGAAATACTGAAGAACGTACTAAGTGGACTCCAAAGCGCAGGTATTGAATGGGCAGCTGGAGAAAAGCTGTGCGATTTAGAGTACACCGATGACATCACCTGTCTGTTCGAATGTATGGGGGACGCGCAAAGCGCACTTGATAGATTAACAAGTGCAGTAGCCAGTATTATGTGTTTTGTACCTTCAAAATGCAGAGTGATGCTGCAGAACTGGGTTTCATCTACTCCCGCCCTGAAACTACACGGCCAGGATTTAGTTATGGTGGATTGCTTTTCCTACTTAGGTAGTTGTGTGCCCAATGACGGTAGTGCCCACATTTCCACAGCGCGAGCAGAATACGCAGGACTGAAACACCTTTGGCGTAGACGCGACGTTTCACTGAAGCTGAAAGATCGTGTATATTGTGCTTAAGTTTGCTCAGTTCTGCTTTATAGTTGTGAGACCCTGAATTTGCGAGTAGAAGATATTTGTCGACGGAATTTTTTTGATTATCAGTGTTTACGTAGTTTACCCCATGTTGGATGGAGTCAACGGGTTAGTAACGTGGAGGTAAGTCGTCGTGTGTTTGGGAGTCTATCAGATATAAACCTGCTAGCACACCGAATTCAGATTACTAGGTTTCGCTGGCTAGGGCACGTATTGTGTATGTCCGGCTGTCGTCTGCCGCACCGCGCTTTATTCGCTGTAGCTAATTCGGGCTGAAGAAAACCACGTGGAGGTCAACAGATGACGTGGAGACGAGGCATGAAGAAATGCACAGTGCCATTAGGTAGAGTAGAGTAGGTGTCTCTCCCCTTCCTGGTTGGGGTCCGAAAGACTCTACTACTGGTTGGTTGGAGACATTGAAGGATATGGCAGCGAACCGGCAGCAGTGGCGTTCTTGTTATCGTTTCTTATCAGGTCAGAATGCTTGAAACAGTGTGTATGCAGAGTTCGATTGCGTACTCTGTGTGTTGACCATAGAGGTTCACCTCCTTCCCCCTCCCTTAAAATAGGTCCAATCACATAAGATAATAAGATAATGACACACTCTTGTGCGATGAACAGCAGACGGGGTCAACCCAATAATCGCGAGAACCGATGCTTACTCATGGGAACTGGTAACCCAAGCCCCGGAACTTAGAGTGGTGAACCAAAAAGACTTAGGTGTTATGTTAAGATTTGTATCACGAACTTCATGTAGCGGTGGTTGGCTTCAAACTTCAGGATCAATCACAACCGCACTGTTGATAGAGTATAGACGACCTATAGCAAAAACGAAACTATTCAAGAAATTGAACGACAGTGGAATAGTTTTTTATGGTACGTGGCAACAAAAATTGAAAAACGAGTAAGGTACAAAGTTCAAACGCGTGTTTGTGCCAAATTTTCACACTCTGTCTTACTTCAATCTTCTGATTAATGATCACAGAGACAGAATTTCACTGAGTATCAGCTTCCAACAACAATTTTGTGCGTGGTCATTTACTTTTATGGGGCCAGCATTTAACTAAAACGACAGACATGCGCGCTAACTAATTGCCTTTTGTTGAATGGGACCCCCTGATTGGTTATATCCTCAGTGGTCAGTATAAGCATCAGTTTTGTTTTCAGAAAATCACATGCAGCATCCATCTTCTGTATTCACGCCCTCTGATGACACAAACTATCTGGTTTAGTGAATTTCAGCTGAGAGGATTGAAGAATAGATAATGATAATACTTCGTTATCACATCAACAGGTGCTTCTTGGCATAAGAAAACCAGCATCCCTTTCTGATGCCCCGTTGCGTGTATACGACGCGCACAACTATCTAACGCCTTCGTGATTAAAGCTTGAAATTACAGACCACTTTGATCCAATTATTTGGTATGTTGTCTCCGTTGAGGATGTAAACCGCTGATTCCTGTGCGAAATGAGTATTTTAACAATTATCCGCGGTTTCCAGCAAGAAAAGCTAGAAGGGAAACAATCCAAAGGGTGTGGGCGCTCATCGACATATCCCAACTGTTTCGTACATCCTTCATTTCGCAGGATGGAACATCCGAGAGCACAAATCGGGTGGATGGATGAATCCAGCTGCAGCAACTGAAACCGGCAGTGACTGACCAAATCCACCTGCATAGAAGTTGCAGCAATTCATGGTTAGGTTTAGACTCTGACATATATTCGGAACTCCTCCGTCAAATCATGTTTCTGTTAGTACTCTTGAGGTGAATTTTCCCACAGCACATTTATTCACACCTAGGGAAGAGTTACTGAGATGACCTATATTTGTTGAACTGACTGGACGATGTCCTATGGACTAGACGCTTCCAAACCCCAGGAAATATGATGCGATAGAAGATTATAGGATACACATACATGATAGGAGACAAGAACCATGCAAATAGTTGTGCTTCCGACAACTTTTTTCAGTCAGTCAAACAGGACTTATTACAGAACAATCAATAACCGGGTAGGCTGTCAAAGATGTAATAACCGTTGGTGGTTGGTGAGGACAGAATGTTTTGGAATATTGTGCAATGATTGCGGGACACTTTCGTCTTACGATTACGAGACTTAGTCCTTTCGCGCCGACGACGCTAACTAGCTTTCAGTTTAATTAACATTGCCTCCTAGGCATCACTCGCTTATGATGGTAACGTCTTGGGAACAATGACGAGGTCTGGCGAAGAGAACTCTATTTAAATAGGTGACCTTTAATCAAACTCAATAAGTTATACTAGATGACTAGAACACACCATATGCAGGTATTTCAATTGCTTTCCGCACCCATGACACTTCGCGAATTCTGAGCATAACCAGAAAGAGTTGACGAACTGGTATAGGGGTGCTGGTTTCAGTTGGACTTCATAATTATCTGATTTTGGCCTAAGGGATAATGAACTCACCCGTCAGTGGTAGACATTAGGATTGTTGTTTTAGTTGGACACCATGAACGCCAATTTGAAATTCAAGGTTTAGGTTAACATAAGTGAACAACAGGACGTTGAAATAAGAGATTTCACCACTGCTGCCCATCCGTTGATGATGTCGGATGTAATTTCGAAGGATTGTAGCTCGGGATATGGATGTTCATGTTGACCGGTCTTCCGAACCGGAAGTGTTGGCTGCAGACGTTTCGAAGTCAGGTGTGCAATAAAACAGGCTAGGTGACAACATCAGTGAGACTTCAGGGAAGTCGTAGAAGCAGAACAGGCTAAGTTACCGGTTGATAGGACCGAACCGTAGAGTGGTTAATCATGTTACCACCGGCATTTCACCGTAAGCTGTGAAAATAAACAACAACATTCTACACTCCCTTTTTACAAATATTCGCATATTACCCACCTAGATTTTACTTTCATTAACAGCCGGTGTACCTATTGTTTATCCTTAGGATGTGACATTCTTTGCCAGCTTTATGGAAATGTAACAGAAACTAACCATTATTAACGATTGTGATCACCAATGCATGAAGCTTGATTCAAGTGTAAATGTGCTTTCCTACAAGTCATAAAATACGATTCGAAAAGGCAAATCCTGGAAACACGACTCACTTGCAACGAAGCCATCTCGGCCCAAACATCCATCGACCAGTTACCTGGACCAGTCAGCGTCGAGCTTGCTGCTCCGTCATTCGGTGGGTTTGGTGTAATGTCCATATGTGTACCAGAGATGGAACTCGCATTTCGTGTGTGATAGTTCGTTAAAGCAAAAGACATCAGAGGCTGAAAAAAATTGATAGGAAAGGTTAAATATTTAACAAGAAGCTATTGGTTTCAATCGGATTATTATTTAACAGTTATGCAGCGAGAAAAATAATTTAACCTTGAAATCAAACGGGATAATTTGACCTAGAACACAAAAATACAGCTAGTTTTCAAAATTTGTCTGAAGGTTGACAAAAACGCTGGATAGTTGTTTGCCTTTTCATATCTGTGCTGGGAATCGAAAAGTGAGCTTTGGGGTTAGGGGCCGAAACCCTTACCCTTTAGATACACCGTCAACAGGTAACACTTGAGCAGATGGTCATTAAAAATATGTTTTGATTGGACTCCATGTGAATTCAAAGACATTGTGTTCTGCGCATTGTTCGAGTGTTGATAAGGATAAAAATAGTGCACACTGCTGATGAGCCAGCACACTTTTTTGACCTTCACGCGAATTGCCTGATAATCAGAATATCAAAATATTGGGGAATAAATGAAATTCGTATGAGTGAAAAACACTAAAACAACAATAAACAAACCATGATGTCTGAGTTCACATAGAATGAAGGAAAGCGTTTAATTATTTGTAAAATGTTACAAATATGAAGATGGGTTAGTTAAATCCAGACGGGAATAGAATAGCAACATTCTCGCGGGGGCTTCCTCAAACCCCGTACCTCAGGTTTCTCGGAGAGGAATACCGGAAACATCTGGTGATCCTGTCGGTTCGCTTTCTGACGAAGATAATCAGATTGATGCACTCGATACATATATGCAGACGAGATAAGAACTACTTGATCGCAGGATAACATCAAACCGTAGATGATGCATAGAGCATAAAGAACACATCTCCTATGTTTCACATTCGCTTCTGCAAGTCTGGTCTCGGAGCACAAATAACGATTCAGCTCCCTGATAACTAGTTTATCCTTGCGAATACGTAGTTCATTAAAGATTCCCATTGTAACATTTGAGAAAACACGAAATAGCGAACATGCTCGTTTTCGATAACTTCTTCATCTGGCTAATACACTTATATAAATAGGTAATGGGCATATCACATTTGCATAATGTTTGACGTGTGTGCGAATCGGGTTGGCGGATATAATTAGTCGATTGTGTGGTTTACAAAAAAAAGGAAAACGCGGTCTATGATTACCTGCTCATTTGTTTGTTCATATTCGGCAGGCTAAGTAGACAGAACCATCAGGCAGTTTTCCCAAAAGATCAAGATCAAACCAGCCTGGTTGACTACTGGGGCCATAAAAATCATCTCAAGTGCGATTGTGGAACACCTCGCAAATACTGGGCATACTGTGAATGAAGATGCCTTCAAGGTGATCTACCAGATGTCTCATTTTCCGTCTAAGGCTGTTCGTCAACAACATTTAGCAACAGCTAAGGTACTGGCTATCCGTTTGTTCAATCCATCACTTTGTTCCCAAAAGCGATTTGTTAAAGTACTTCAACTACCATGGCCACGTAGTGAACTCAATCGCATGAATGAAACTGATCAGTTCCATGACCGCTTGACTCTTCCGATTGGTCCTGTGCCCTAAACAGGTGATGGTTAACCACGACTCTGTCCTAGCCCTCGTGACACATCCTTATTCCCATCCACCTACCACCGCATTTTCTTTTTTGTAAACCACACACAATGGACTAATTGTATCCACCAATCCAATCCGCACACACGCGTCAAACATTATGCAAATGTGATATGCCGATTACCTATCTATATAACTGTAACAGCCAGATGAGGGAGCTATCGAAAACGAGCATGTTCGCTATTTCGTGTTTTCTCAAATGTTACAATGGGAATCATCAATATCTCCTATGCACATATAGATCACTAACATACCCAACCTTGTGAGACCTTATGAGGTTACTCACTTCAGGTGTCCAAGTTTGGTTACCGGTTTTCTTTCCTTTCAGGATGGAGGAAACGTATAAATCACATTCACAAATGATTTTGCTTTTTTGCGCGCACCACCTGAAGAACTCACCTTACTCTGTCACAAACGTTCGATGAGTTCCTTAGGTAGTGCGTGACTGTACCTTGACGTGCTATGATGGCTGGCATGCCTCCATGACCCTGGGAGTTACACAGGATGGCTTTCCACAGCCGTAGATCCAATCATGCCTGAAAGATCAACGGTCAGTCTCAGTCTCAGAAAGCCAGCTGCCTGGGCACCTCCGGCTTCCCTTGACTATGCCCTCCAGCCCCGGGAGAGGCTTCTTCTCGACAGTGGGGGAAGTATTCGCACTTCACTGGACAGCTACCGCCCACCCAAGCTGGGCAGCCCGCAGCCAATAAGGTGCTGTCCCGTCCACGTTCCGCTTGTCTCATTGGGTGCATGAGGCTAAGGGCTGATCCCGGAAAGCGG